AGCGTCCGTTTCCCAGGGAGACGGGGAGGCAGGCTCCGCGAGGGCTGGGCGCATTCCTGCTAGGACCCTGGCTTTCCGCGCTCCTGGTCCCACGCCCTCCTCGAGGACGGCCGTGTCCGGAACCGGCGGGCACTATAGCTCTGAGGCTGCAGTGACCCCTGGTGGGTCCTCAGGTGCGTGCACAGACAGCCCGAGCTGAGCCGCGAGAGGCTGGGCCTTCGCAGCAGGTGCAATCTCTGCTCTCCCGCTGGGAACCAGCCTCGAGTTAATTAATGCGCGTCGTCGTGGTTCCTGGAGACACGCGGGGGGACACGGAGCAGAGCTGAGGGTAGGCCTCCCAGAAAACTTCTCTACTCTGTATTTCGTATTAGAAAGTACAAGAGCTTTGGCATCAGACATAGTTTTGAATTCCAACCTAGGTAACCAAAGCTCAAAAAAATTGCTTAAAATGCCTTAAAAATAGTACCTTAAGAATGAAATAATAAAAATTTTAAAGCTGGCATCCGCGGCACAGTAGACCGGAAATGAACAATTTGTGACTTGGGAGGGAGTTTCCTTCCATAGTGATTTGCCACAAAGAACCTTCTGTGGGAAGCCTTTTTCCCTGCTATAGCAGCTCCATCTAAACATGGAGAGCACAACCCCCAAAGTGTGATTCAAACCTGCCATGTTTGGTATGAACTTGACGTAAAGCTATGACTCAAAACTATTTTATCTTCCAGGTGTTCTGTGAAACAGAAGCAGTTTTTGAGTTTCTAATCAAATTCTATGTTCAACTTTGGGTTGTATTGTCCAAATTTTGCGTTACATGAGCGGGCACCTTATTTATTCTGGGTTTAGCATCTTTGCTCCTGGAGGCTTTTCTTTTCTGTAATATAATACTCCAGGCACAAATTGCCAAAAGGGATTGAAATTTTCATAGCAGATTTTCATTCATTATCATCATATTCAGGCGAGCCTCCTTAGTTTGCAAAAAACAAAAGATAGGACCAAGTGTAATAATTTATTTTTCCAGTTTTAAGTCTTGTTGCCACCTGATTTATGTCCTTTGATTCTGGGGATTTTTGTTTCACCTTTAATGGTGATGGAAAGGCTGGGGCTTGGGGGTAAGGCAGCAATTCTTTTCATTTCAGGCTCCTCACAATGAAAAGTACAAAGCCATGAAGCCCTGTACATATGACAAACTTTTCTGAGTGAGGCATTTTCTTTTCCATTTCTTTATCAGGGATGGGGCAAAGAAAAAAATCCATTTAAACACAAAATTGGAGTTTCCTAGAGATAATGGGAAGATTCCACCGGTTAAAATAAAAACAGTGTTAATGAGCCATTGATATACAATAAACTGCATATATTTAAAGTAAAATTTGATACATTTTGATCTATGTATATACTCATTAAACCATCACCAAAATCAAGCTAGTAAACATATCCTTCACCCATAAAATTTTCTTCTGTAACTTTATGATTTCTTCCACCTGATTCTCGCCACATCTCACCTCCCAGATAACCTCCAATCTGCTTTTTGTCACTAGATTTTCCGTATTTTCTAGAGTGTTATACAAATGGAATCATGGTCTCAACTCTTTATTTTTTTTGCGGCGGGGGGGGGGGGT